GGGGGGGCGAAGGAAGCGAGGAGGAGGCTCTGATGTTGGCTCTTGGGACTTTTGCTTGTGCTTGGACCCGAGGTTGTTTTGAGTAATTTCGCTCGTACCATATCGCTTCAGCGCCGGTGTCTCATGGTATCGGTTTTATTGGGGCTGGAGTCGGAGCGCTAGAGGTCTTCTGTTGTCAGGCACGGCACGGCACGGCACGGCACGGCACGGCACGGCACGGCACGGCACGTGTGTGCAGCACGATGTTGTGGCGCTTTTCGTTGTGTTGGTGTTGCTGTTCGGAAGTGCGATGGTCGTTTCGATGTTGCTGTCTGTTCACTACTCACTGCCGTGGCCGGAAGGAACGCTGGCAGCGGCACCGGCGGTAGCTGGCATGCGCGGTACCTTGGTTGCGTTACGCTCGTGTACACATGTTGCCACTTTTTTTTTTGTCAACGTGGCAGCAGGTCCGTCGGCTGTCCACATCTGCTGCCCCTGGCGCTCTATCCATGAAGTACATGCACCAACTCGCGTTGGTAAGTGTCGTTTCTGGACATCCCTGCCTGTACACCTATCACAACCGGCTCGTCCCACTCCCACCCCTCCAACAACAGATGATGCTCGCGGGTATGGGCCTGCTCAACACGATGCCCATGCTGGCCACGCTCACGGTCGAGAAGGGTCTCCTCGTCGCTCTCGGAGAGGTCCTGCAGGTCTTCTTGAGCGGCGGACCCATGTACTTCATGTTCCACATCCAGACGCGGGCGCACTACTTCTACCAGACGCTGCTGGCGGGCGGGGCGCAGTACCGCGCCACGGGGAGGGGCTTCGTGACTCACCACTCGTGCTTCGACGACCTCTACCGGTTCTTCGCCAACTCGCACTTCTACCTCGGATTCGAGGTATGTACGTGTATGTATTGTTGGCATCGACCGCGCCAAGCGGCTGACCAAATGAAAATACATCGGTGTCAGTGCGGCTGAAAACACGAAGACACTTGTAAACGCCACTTGCCATGAGCGGAGAGAGTGTGTTGCCTGCCTGCCTGCCTGCCTGCCTGCCTGCCTGCTGTGTCTTCGCTTTGCTTTTCCGGCATGTCCCGAGTCTTGCGCGTGGGTGTGGGTGTTCCTGACTGCCTGCTGTGGTCTTCGCTTGTCTTTCCCTCATCGGTGCTGTGTGTCGAGGGGTTAGTGTGGGGCCGAGCATGGATTCTCAGCATCCCTTGCCAAAGGGGAGTGTTCGTGGACAGCCCGCCCAGTGACTTTCGACCGTACGCATTGCGCCGCTCTTGTGTGTGTGTGTGTGCCGAACACGCCGGCTAGCTTTTTGTTGTCGTGCCCCACATGTACGTGGTGCTATCTCTTGGTTTGCCGCTGTAGGGTATTGTCACGGGGTAAGCAAACGACAAGGCGCTCTCTTAGCGGTACGACCTGTGACGGTTGAATGAAGGGATACGACAGCTAGCTGCGTAACTGCCTGTTTTATTCACCCCGTTCATTTGGTGATCGCGATAACGGTGCTGCTGCTGCTTCCCTTACCCCCCCCCTTGGTGTTTCGCTTTTCTCCCTTTTTTTCGCACGCAGCTCATGGTGGCGTTGATCGTGACCGCCGCCATGACCAGCTCCAAGCAGTACCTGGGCATGACCTGGTCGCTGTGGCTGGCCTGCCTCAGCTTCCTCTTCGCCCCCTTCTGGTTCAACCCGCTGTCCTTCCACTGGGGCAAGGTTGTCCAGGACTACAAGATTTGGATGCGCTGGATGACAGGGACGGGCGGCAACAGCTCCAACAGCTGGGAGGTGAATTTTTGGTCGGGATGGCGGCCATTGTTTTGTCTTTGGGTGTTAACTCATGGCCATTCGCGCCGTAGTCGTTACTCACAGCCGTGCATGCCGTAGTCGCTACATCATTGACCTCGCATCACTATCATCGCCGGGACGGAGCACGCCGGGTTTTCACCGGACCAGGCCAGCGCGTCCTTAAGCGCGAAGGGCGTTGAGGTATTCGGCGAGTCGCATTGAGGGTGCGTTGCATCCCGCGTCCTCTTGAGAGGGGTGGGGGCGTCGAGACTGGTAGAAACGGCGCGCTCTTAGGGGGAGGGGTAAGAGAGGCGAAGGGTTGCGATACGTGAGACTGGACGGGATTAAACAAGCAGCTGCAGCAGAACTGGTGTGTACCTCGTAAGTTGGAGCAGCATCGCTAGACTGCATAGCGCCCCAGACGCGAATTCCGCTAGTTTCTCACACGTCCTTTTCTCCTATCCCGAAGCTTATGGCCTCATCTTAAATGTGCATCCTTCAATTCGTTTATTTCTTCCCTTTTCGCGCAGTCGGAGAGTGTCAAACCCTGACAGTTTCCGCCGTTGCCCCTCTTCCAAGCTCGAGGTTCATCCCGCATCATGTAATTGGTCACTTCCTTCCCCTCTGGCACCCATGCCGCAATGTGTCAAACCGCACCCTTTTCCTTGAAGGTGTGGTGGCGCGAGGAGAACTCGCACCTCTCTCGCTCCTCGCTCACCCAGAAGATGCAGGGCCTCGTCCGGCCGCTCATCTACGTCGTGATCGGCTACGGCGTCGGGGGTCCGCAGCTGCTGGGGCTCGACCACAAGGAGCTCAAGGTGCGATTGTGATGAGAGGAAGAGGGTGTGCGTGTTATCCTCTGTACGATGCGACGCATTTCCTGACTGTTTTTTGTTTGTAGCGAGCGATGAGAGGACGGTGGGGGGGGGGGGGGGGGGGGGGGGGGGGGGGGGGCATGCTGTCGTCCGTGCGATGCGACGCGGTTCTTGGCTGTAGCGAGCGGGGTTGTGTCCACGCGCACGCCAGTCGATTTCGATGTTGGACGACGTGGTCCATGTCGTGCCTCGTGCACGCTGGTGGTAGTCCGTGTCGAATCTCGGTAACGCCGTTGGTGCGTCAAATCTCGTGCCTGCACTATTTACCACCCACCCTTTTGTTGACATGGGAAGTTTCTGATTGGACGGGGCCGTATCCCCTGCCGTACTTTTTGTTGGCCGGCTACGACGCGCAGGTGGTGGCGAAGCTGGCCGCGCTCGCCTTGGCTCTCATGGCGGCGTCGATGCTCACGCAGCACTACGGGAACAGGCTGACCCCCTGGATCCGTCGTTCCTCGACGATCCTCATCACCACCTTCGCGGTCGTGTACGGCATCTACCTGCTACTGGCGCACACCAAGTGAGAAACTAAACACGACGGACTTGCTCTGTTGCTGTGATGTTTTTTACAAAGTAGTTGTATTGTTGCCGTGGTCATTTTTCGGTGAGAGTTATTGCCCCTGTGGCTGCGGTGATGGTTGCTATTGTGGTGGTGTTGGTGGTCGTTTGTGCTCGAAGA